TGGATCGATCAAACTTTTGAGATCTCTGAAAATGTCATCATAGCTCTGATCCATCTTGAAGTGCTGAGATCGATCATGTTGGATCGATCGAACTTTGATCTGAGATCGATCGAAGATGTTAATTTCCACATTTTGCTTCCTTTTGCTTCTACTTGGCTCATTTCTTTGATTCATCCCAGAATTGCTTCATTTCTGCTCTTATTTGGCTGAGTTAGCTTATTTTCGGGATAAGTGCCTGAAAATGAAAATAACACAAAATCAATCTAAAATGGTAAAGTAAGATAGATAAAGGTATCAGAATACCTAAGCTTAAGGGGTTTAAATACGCACTTTTCAACGCTCATCAATAGACTCAACAAAATAATAATAGGGTCAATAAAAACGATTAAGTGCTGAAACGATCATCTAACACCTTTTGATTTACAAATTTGATTGGATTAGATTGTTAGGCTCATGCCCTAACATCTTTAGTCTTCGGAAGACCCAAAATTCTGTCGTGGTATTAGAGCTTTTGCTTATTGAGGTTGCACCTGTGAAAAAAGTTGTGGGCAATCTCTATTTGTTTGTTTACTTTGAAGTCTGTCGTTGGGACATCAAGGTCTGTCATTGCAGATCATTATACGCACCACCATTGAAAGTATTTCTTATCACAAGAGCCAATATTGTTATAGTAATATGGGCTTTATTTTTGCCGGTCTTATACGATATTTATAGTAATTAGTCCTATTTCAAATATTGACATACTAATATGATTACTCTGGTACAACCATTTATTAATATGTTCACATTATATATATGTTTCTTTATTATTGCTTTGCTAACTTGGCAAATAAGAGGGAACATAGGCATGTTGGCCTTACTTGCGCGTGAGAGGTAAGCTTGGGAATGGGGGGCAGAAAATTAACCTATATTATTAAAGAGATGATCTCAAGAAAATCAACTTCCCTTATAAAAGGGATCACAAAACTCAAGACATTCAACTTCCCTTATTAAAGGGGCGAGCTCATGAAGCTCGGTAGAAACTACTCCTTTTTGAAAGGGTCCGACTGAGTGAAGCTCATATTAATTTATTTACCTTATTAAAGGATGAGCTGGGTGAAGCTCATAATAATCTACTTCCCTTGTTAAAGGGAGAGTTGAGTGAAGCTCGTATTAATCTACTTCCTTTAGTAAAGGGACAAGAGGCCGACTACACTTTATTCAAGGTTTTCTTATTAAAGGGACGAGAGGCTGACTACACCTTATTCAAGGTTTCTTCATTAAAGGGACGAGGGGCCGACTACACCTTATTCAAGGTTTCCTCATTAAAGGGACCAGAGGCCGACTACATGTTCTTCCCTCATTAAAGGGACAAGAATCCAACTACTCCCTATACATAGAAGGGTGAGATAATTAAAGCTTCCTTCATTTACTAGAGAGACGAGACGACTACCTCGCATATTAAAAGGGTCACCCTCATTAAGACTACACCTCTTTCCCCCATAAAAGAACGAAGGGTCAACTTCATTTTCTTTCCTCGGTAAAGAGACCAGGGGTTCACTACTCCCTTATTAAAGGGTAAGCTCACAAAGCTCGAGCAAATCCACTCCCTTAATACAAGGGGCAAGAAAGTAATCATCAAGCATGCTTAGCTTGGAAAGGCTTGACATTCCCGACGCTTGACAAGCAAGATTACGGGAATGGAGGGCTACTGATACGGAATATTTGATTAGATAAGGAATAACTCAAATTCAAATGAGAAATAAGATAAGGGTAAGGAATTTATTCTCCCCAAAATCTCTATGGAATCATAAAAAATTTCTGGTTACCATATGTAACGACAGTTACCATTCCTATAAGAAGGAAACAATATCATTTTGGATCGGGGAGAATCTCGCTTCAACAACTACTACCATTAATGCTTCTATAAAAGAAGTGATTGGTCAACCTAAAAAGGTACGCCATAAATTTCATATGTAATGTTTATCGAATATGGAATCCTCAAGTACTAACTTAACCGTAGGAGTGCACTCGGCCGGTACCACGCCGGTCATCACTTCTCTTGTCTTGCAGGAATCGCCAGGGTTCCGGAGCGTACAGATTCTTGCATCAACACCCAAAATCCTTATCCAATTCAGTACTTTGCCGGGGACCCGGGGTTACTCTAATAATATTTTTTTCAATTTTTTGTGAACTTAGTTTTGCATGGTTAAAAGATTTGATGGTAAATTTGACAAAATGTCACTAATATTCCAGTTTGTACGAATTCAAGTAAATGAGAATTCAGTATATAAATTCGGGAAAATGACATAAACAAGATTTTAGTTATATATTTACCGGGAAAAAAAAAAATAGTTATATAAATTTAAGTGATATGTCCTCCACTTCTCTCTTGCACTTTGCTGGTCTCACTTCTTTTTATCTCTCAACAGTGGCATGAATGATGAAAACAAAGCGATTTTTGGTTTAATAGATAATAATTCCATTGCTATTAATTTTTCAAAAGGTACAACTCGGAAATCCCATACCTCAATTAAGGATCCTTTAATCATAATTTATCAACGGATAAACCCAAATAAATAATAGTAAGGACAGATAATAGAATAATGTCCTAATTTGAAATAAGCCAAGAGTGGACGATAAATAAGTCTTTAAGTTGCGGATTCTTAATCCCGAGACTTGAACTTCTAAAAAACTAAAAGATATAAAAATAAAGTGGATAAAACCCACGAGCAAGCTCCATCTATAAAATTTTTAAAAAGATAAATAAAACATCTCTAATCAAAATCAATTTAATAAAATTTTAACTTTTATTATAGTGTGATATAGGATAATATACGTGGAGCAATGTTACAGGTGCTGAAGGTTTTTGGCCGAACAAGGGCCGAATCTGATGTGGCAAGGCCACCTCATATGATTAAATCTAAGTGAAACAAGAAAAAGACTAATGTACCCTAAATGTTTAGCATAATTTTCATTTAATAGCCTTTCAGATTGAAATAGAACATTCAAGAACTCCTTAGCCTATGAAAGTCATCTCTATCCGTCTCAAAACTCTCTGGATTTCTCAATCTCTTTCTTCTCTGTCCTCCCCATCAACGTTTATCTGTTTTGCATCTTCACTATCTCGCTTTAAAAACCTTTAAATTTGTTCCATCCTCATGACTCCACTAGGGCCGGCCATCATCTCGCACATCAAAATCTGTTCAAATAGCCTTTTCTTTTCTATGGTCTTCTTTCTTTCAAATGAGACCCAGCTCAATAACAATCCACCATTGCATAAATCAAAAGACCCAATTTCCTTCACAAAAACCTAAATAAACCTTGAAGAGGAGGGATATGCTGTCATGCACCATAGCCAATTAGTAATCAAAAGGGAAGCAATGGAAAATTGGTCAGCTAAAAATGGATAATGCTATATAAAGTCAGAAATCATCCAAATTCAATAATACTAAACAATGTAATTTGGGTGTATATATACATTTATATCTCTTTGAACACCCATAATCATTTATATTTCTATATTTTTATTTACTTTTACACCTTTTTTTTTTTTAGTTCGCCATGATTCTGCGAGCTTCAAATAAAGGATTAATTCTATATATCATGATGGTGTTATTCAAAAGAATACTCTATGAGGCAGTGTACTCTCCTCCGTGGGACTTCTAGTTTTTCACGCGAGGTCAGATTTAAGAATCTGATGTGGCCTTGTTCGGCCCTGTTCGGCCAAAAACCTTCTGCCCCTATATCATTTCCCTAAATAATGATATAATTGCGTGTTTATAAATATAAAGTACAATGACATCCGCCGGCCGCTGCCACTTCCAGTACTACTTACATCCTTGTCCGTTTGATCTGAGAAGTTAAAATTGGATTACTGAGATTTAGTCATACCCTAGCTAGTCGTTACATTGCTTTTAGTGGCCACGTGTTTCATCAGGAACCGTTCCTTTCCACCGACTTCACAAGAACTTGCAGCTCACGCGCCCTTCTTCGATCTAGAGACAGAAATTGTCAGACTACGACCAACAGATTCACCTCCGCCAGCATTGCACCACCTCGATGGCCCAAATTAAACATTTCCCCATTTCGTTGTTAGGTCACACCAAGATTGGAGCTTGATAAAATTTTGATTTAATTTTTTTAATTATTTTTTTCAAATCCTACCAATTTTAATTCTAAAATTTCAATTCCGCTCCAATTTCATGTGACCGATCATATCCTAAGAGATTTCTTCTTTCACAATTTAAAAAACATCTAATTTCAGAATCTGTGTCCCAAGTTCCTCATCCAATTATTTTCCCTCATTTTCACTCATCTTCATTCCACTCCCATTTCCTGACTCTTATTATCCACACCATTGCGTGCTTCATTTTTTTCTTGTAAAGCATCGCTAGAAAACCTGATTCCCATCGACATGAAAAAAGTTCTCTCCCCAAGAATCTTGCCAAAACCTTCCGGGAAAGCATTGCAGGAGAGATATTAGTTTGAATTACCAGGGAACAAACAGGAACTGTCAAGAAACCCTAAAGAGAACTCTCAATCATCTTCGACCTCAACACAAATACAGACTGCAGAGAATGTCGTGACACCTTAGAGAGAGGAGCTCTCAACAGAATATCTTAATCAACCCCATAAAACTTTTATTATATAACTCCTTTAACAAAGAATAAATATTAACTAAAAGAGAAAACTAAGCCCATCAAATTACACGGCGTAAGAACTCAAAGAATAAGTTCAGTTCAATACACATCAGAGCGAGCATGGTACACACAACTCACGAATAACCCGGCTCGCTATGTTCATTGATAGCACCAGGTCTGAACTCTGAAGGCAAGCACTTCTTTGTGCTAACACAATTGTGCGCGCTCGTCACAATCATCTACAGATGCAACTGCTGTTAAAGTTGTTAAACTTGCAAGACGGAGAGTCAGTGGATTATGACAGGAAAAATAAAACCATTTGCAGCAAAACTTATATACTATCACATTATCTAAGACTTCTTTTTGCAAATCATAAGCTAAACTTAAAATTAGTTCTACCTTAGTATTAAAAAATAACAGAAACGCCATCTAAGAAACAAGAATATATAGAAAGACTAACTGAACCATAGCACCCACTACAAAACCTAGGAATATAACAATGCTAGCCATTATATTGGAACTATGTCAAATAAGATTACAAAAACCAAATGCATGGCTTGCTGCTAACTTCAACCTCGGGAGGAACCTTAACAAAAGGTTGGTAGGCATGCAGCTGAAAAGACGACTGCTTAACAGCGTAAACAGGAAGCAGATGAGTTAAATATTAGCTTTTAACCCCTCCTCCTGCGCTTTTTTCCACTCTTTGCCCCGGTTTCTCTTGATTTTGATGCACTCAGTGACTTCTTCCCCTTTGCACTTTCTGGTGTTTTCGATAGCTCAGGTGATTTTCCCTTCTCATCCTCAGTTCCTCTCACCTTCACCGAACTAGATTTTACCTTGCCAGTACCATTAACATTGGGCTTGCTGCCACTCTTGGATGATTTTGCATTGGACTTGGTGGCATTTTTTGGGGCGCCTTTGGTGATACTTTTTGGGGTATCTTTGGGGACAAATTTTGGGGTGTCATGCTTGGACTTGGCATTTGTCTTTGGTGTGCCACCATCGTCTTTGGATTTTCTGGCTCTTTTAGAGGCATCAACAACAGATTTACCACTTCGAGGATGATCCTTAGATGTACCACTGGCATCGTCCTCAGATGTACCACTGTTATCTTTCTTTTTGTTATCGACTATACCATCATCTCTCGGTTTACGACTAGATTTTGCAGCTGCACCTTTCAATTTGCTGGATGAAGCTCCACCCCTGGAGACCATTATTCATACATTCTGAGACCATTTTTTACAAGTTTACTTGAATAGAGCACTAAAATTTGAGTTAAAAGAATTGCAAACACCTTTTGGGTGAAACCTCCATCTTTCCTTGCTTAGCTGATGGATCAGAATTTGTTTTTGCCTTTTTTTTTCTGTGCCTGGTAGCCAGCAAGTAAATCACAAGTCAGCCAAATCCAACAAACAAGTCAGGTAGCATCAAGGGAACAAACAAAACTAATCGACAACCCTACCACCCAAAACCCATAACCAACTTTAAACGTTTTAATAATTTAAAATTCAAAATGCCATTCTCATCAGTTGATTTGGACTACAGTTCCGTTAACCAGCGCATAGAAATGTAGACATGAATGAAGATAAACCTGGGAGACGAACTATAACTAATAGACAACACTATTCCAACCTAAAAGTCAGGGACACCAAACAGAAGAAATAAATAACACAAGCAATGTTACAACATCTTCGTTTTTACATAAAATTAGTTACTAGCACATACACCTAATGGACAATATTTTTACTTCTATGATTTCAACGGTACAAACTAGTTGATATAGAAACCCGTTAATATTCAAATAGATCTCAACCGTACAAACCTTAAAAACAAGTCAACATATATCAGTTAATATTTTATTGCATGTTCAGACAGCAGCAAATGTATGCACACGACAGAGTCTTTTTCTAACTATTTGGGATACATGAATCCTGTTTTGCCATTCCAGTGTATCTAAAGATCCCAACAAGTATATGTACACAAGCCAAAAAATTTAAGAGCGCGCCAAAAACTAATGTTACATTGTTACCTAAATGACCTAAATAAACTGCATGGCCAATCGTCATATCTGAAAATTTTCCATGCTCCAAGCTGGCGTGCCTAGGACCTACTTACCATTCCCTGAGGCACCACTACCTACAGTTTCCAACCTTGATCATTACACTCTGACTAGCAACATTATTTGCAAGCTACTTAATGAACTAATTACATTCATAATTAATAGTAATGAAGTTTGAAAATAGAGTCAATAGACCATAAACATTTGCCAGAAAAAGGATGAACTTAATAGTAAATAAACCATGCACAAGGCAATAATACCAGAATACCTAGGATGATAACTGTGAGGGACAAGAAAGAAGAAATGAAAGAAACACAGACCAAAAGAAGAAAGAAAAATAAAATAAATAAAAAACCCTCTTTGATCCCAAAAGGATGTCTTTGCTTAATAAGATTTGACAACAAACAATTCCAGTTCCACAAAGCAATAGCTGGTGTAGGCCGCATAGCAATGGCAAGTACATTGTTGCCAATGCCATTGCCCTTTTAAAATCAATTCTACATGAGAAATTTGAGTTGAGATATACTAGATAGATCCAAGTTGCTTTGTTACAGGGACACTTCAAAACTATCGAAGTACAGGTTCTGGACACAACATAATGTGGTTATACAAAGAAATATCTATCCGACGCATTTATTGTTGAGAACTTGAATCTTATTAGTTACATATGACTCCCTTTTTCCCCGGTAAATTAGTTACATACGACAGCTGGATACATCAGTGCAACTAGGTATATGGTCTTAGTCGGTCAATCTTAAACTTGTATTTCTGCAACCCAAACAGCAGGCAGCAGCTTAACAAGACAAACTTGTGAGAATGAAGTTCAAGTCAGAACCTGCTTAATAAATTAAGACTATACCTATTTATAAAATACAAGGGTGAGTTCATTAAAAATAAATAATAAGAAAATCTTAAAAATAGCTAGTAGCATCGTTACTTTAATTATTTGATAACAAAGAATAATGTGACACCTGTATTAAGAAAGTCATAATCAACAGAAAGTAACATGTACCTGTCAGAGGAAGCATCAGGACTTGGATGTTCAGTTTCTTGTTCCTGTCAAACAAACATCACAGATATAGAACATGAGACAAAGCAAAGGTAGCAAAATGGAGAAAAATATATCAGGATAAAATAAATATAGAAACATGAGAAAGAGGTTACAAAACAAAAATCAACTGATAACCTACCCCGTCTTCCACAGAGTCAGAATCACCACTGATCAACTCCCACCGTTCCTTTTTAAGATTTAATACTTCTTCATCACCGTCACGATATAGAACCTGTTTGATAATTGCAATAATGTCAGGTCAAAATCAGCTATGTAACCCAAAAAGGCTACAAATCCTGCACGAAAAGTATAACTTAAATGGATTAGCATCAGTGTGTAATGCCCTTACCTTATGTTTCTTTTTAACAGAATCAAAAGTATCAATAACACCTTCATAAAACCTGAAATTAGTAAACTCAACGTTATCAACTTTGAGTAGGCAGAACATTTTTAAGAAGGTTCCTTGATTGATTGCAAACTTCAATAGACAATAATTTAAAGTCGCAATAGAATTATCTTCATTTTTCTGGTAGTCAATGCAGAAACTGAAATTTAATATTGAGATCAAAATATCACTTATTAATGCAGAGTTTAGAGCAGCAAGAGAAGGCTTCTACCCACTCTGCAAAAATCACTAAAAGAGGGGATGCGTTACGGATGACATTATTAGACAATAGAGTAGGGAACATAATGCGATTACTAAACATAACCACACATTAAAAAGCTAATAAAAGAGGACAAATGTTGCACAACTGAAAACAAGGTATCATATAACTGAAACATGAGTAGAACAAAAATGGAGAACCAAAACTCATTCCCTGAGCAAACCACTCACTACTACATTTTTTTTTAGAAAAGACAGAAAAAAAAAAAAAAAAAAAAAAAAAAAAGGAGAAGTATAGAGACATAGAATACTTACATTTTGTCCTCTGGCCACCAAACTTTGACCTTTGAACCAACCAGATTCTCATCACATTCTACTGTATCAGATGCCTGGCATTTAAAGAAGAATCGATTTAATAGAGGTTGGTGTGTGTGTGTGTGTGTGTGTGTGTGTGTGAGAGAGAGAGAGAGAGAGAGAGAGGAATTAGGCAAGGGAGGTAATGTAGCTTAAGATATTTAACGAAGGTTAGTGGCCATCCTAAATGCAACCTTAGTGTATCAGATGCCTGGCATTTAAAGAAGAGTCGATTTAATTGAGGTTGATGTGTGTGTGTGAGAGAGAGAGAGAGAGAGGAATTAGGCAAGGGATGTAATGTAGCTCAAGATATTTAACGAAGGTTAGTGGCCATCCTAAATGCAACCTTAAAGTACAGGCACCTCAACCAGCGACCACAAAACCATGCTGTTCAACACAAGCTCAACAAGCAGTTACTGTACTTGATATAATGATTACATCAAGCAGGGTCAAGCTTTAATAAAGTTCAAGCTTGTCGGCCAACTTCTATGTTCATTCAATCTCTTCTCTCTGACTCCTTTTTCACTTTCTACTCTGCTTTTATCAATTTTTCTAGTAGTTTTTTAAGTACTAATATCTCCATGTTCAGATATCCTTATCCTTTCTTTTCTGTGAACTAAAAATGCTTGGCAAATCCACCTTGGAAAAACTATACCCTCCTAATTCCTTGAAGCTTGAGAGAGTTTGAAGAAGAAAGTTTGAAAGAAGAGAAGTTGCTGGACTTTCTGCAGCAGAGACAAACTCTGCAACCATGGATAACAGCTAAAGGTTATAAGAAAAAACATGCTTTTTGGAGGTCTTCGGAGAGTAACCCATGACATGGCACTACGTCACAAATTCACAATCAGCTCGGCAGGACAGGTTGCCTGGCAACTCAACCTGAGACCAGCAAATATTGGAAGCCAAGTGGAGGTGTTTAAGGAATATTTAAGGAACAAAATTCCATGAAGAATGTTGGCGAATATTTTAGTAGGCAAACGGTATACTGAACAAGCAAGTAAGATAATGTGAAAGATACATGACCAAATGCAAAATAATTCTGACCCCATCACAATCACTTTGATGCTTCAAAAAGTACTCAAAACTGGGTCCTGAAAAATTATCACAGGAATAGAAAACCAAGGATACAAGGAAATTTTAAGCCAATAATCCAGCTAAATTTGCTGGGATACACCTTGTCTGTGTCTTATATCTATAAAAATGAGGATACAATCCAAGACAATCATCAACATGAATCAGAAAAAATACATAATGCAATTACTTACTTTTTCAATTTGGGGAGTACGCTTTCTCTTTGAATTCGTCTTAGGGGTTTCCTCTAAGTGGCCTTCATCTTTAGCCGACTTTCTGGTAGACCTCGGAGAAGAAACAATTTTCTATAAAAATTCATAACAAGAATTTTCTTAGAAAGTGGCATCAAGGAGGGAAAAATAAAAAAAGGTGAGCTCAAGCATTAAAAGAATCATGAAAAGAACAATTCCCAAGCTAATAGAAAAGTACTTTGTCATCATCCTTAGCAGAGGATTTCATTACATCCTTTCCCCGTCCACGGCGTTTCCCATCCTCCTTTAATGGGGATCCATCAATATTATTGTTTGCGTCCATCTTCTTACCTAACTCCTTCAGTTTCGCCTCTGAATCACCGGTGGCCTCACCTTCATCCTTAGCAGAGGATTTCATTACATCCTTTCCCCGTCCACGGCGTTTCCCATCCTTTAATGGGGATCCATCGATATTATTGTTTGCGTCCATCTTCTTACCTAACTCCTTCACTTTCGCCTCTGAATCACTGGTGGCCTCACCTTCATCCTTAGCAGAGGATTTCATTACATCCTTTCCCCGTCCACGGCGTTTCCCGTCCTCCTTTAATGGGGATCCATCAATATTATTGTTTGCATCCATCTTCTTACCTAACTCCTTCAGTTTCGCCTCTGAATCACTGGTGGCCTCACCTTCATTCTTGGACGTATCTATTGGTGCTGAAGTCTTATCCTCATTAGCAAATCCAGTATGTGCCTTTGTCCTTGAGCGTTTCTGTGATTTTATTTCTGAATCACTTGTCCTTTCAGATGCCTTGATAGAACTATCAGCAGTAGATGGTGAAGCTTTTTGACTTAACTTTCCTTTCTTCTTTGGCCTACCAAGCTTTTTCGGACGATTCTCATCAGGAAGGCTCCCACTTTGCGATGGATTAGCAGCATTTACAGAATCACCATCTACTGCTTTCGGTGAGGAAAGCTCAATAACAGTTTCTTTTTCATTTTCTGAAGGCACAGCTGCCTCAACAGACGGGTCCTTGCTAGTTGAACTATGAACTTCCTTGCTACGACTTCCTCTACGGTCTGGAAGTCTCTCAGTTTCTTTCTCACTATCAACTTGAGGAGTGTCAGAAGGTTTTTTTGAAGAGCTAGGTTTCCTTCCTCTTCTCTTGGCAGTTTGTTCTTGCTTAACCTCTGATATATCTACCTTCCTAGCATCCGAATCAACAGGTTCAACATCGCTTGTTTCATCAACATTGATGGACTTATTAGCATGGTGACCATCCTCCGGCTTCATTAAAGACTCTGGATTCACAGAAGTGCCTTCATTCCCAGTCTCTGCAGCACCATTACTCATCACCGATTTCGGAGACCTGTCCTTAGAAGGATTAACGTCTTCAGGAGCAGTCGCCGCCTCCGTCATACTCTCTTTGGCCACCTGATCAACAAACAATTAGTTTCAAATAATTAGTTCAGGTTTCAGATGCTCAACTATATTTTATTGATGAAGCATACACTACAGGTAGACAAATTATATAAAAGATAACTAAAGGACATGCCTGGCCTGCCTCATCCGAAGATGCTGTAGCCACCTTGCCCACATCAGCCTGAAGCATAATAATCCAACACTTGACATTATCTCAACAGATGCAAAAGAAATGATAAACACTACATTATACATGATTTTCATGGCGAATGAAGCCAATATTGGAAATTTACACTTAAACAAAAAAGAATCGGTGAAAAAAATCAATTAACTGCGCAACGTGCCTGAGCTGACTCTTCTAACGATGTCCTAGCCAATTTGCCTCCATCTGCCTGAAGAACAGAAGTCACAAAGGCCAAAACATGATTCATTTATGTATAAATGACAAATAATAACATTAATAAACCAATGCAGCAACATTGCAGACTTGCAGTGAAGTTATGATACTAACGGTGGAGACCTGGCATTAGATTGGTGGTAGTTGTGGTGGTGCCGATTGAGGTTATTGTGCAAGATTTCCATGGTTGTATGGCGAAGTGAGACTGCTGACAGTGGGGCAGTAGCAACTTTTACAAACTTTTACAAATTAGACAATGTGCCACAGCACCACCTTTTACAAATTAGCTTTCTCAACAAGGAAAGCTATGACATTTTGAAGAACACCAGTCAAAAGCTACAACAATATTCAAGCTCAATTACAATAAATAAAAAAGAGTAATTGATCAAGTAACTAGCACAATCACTCCTTCATTCATCAAGAGCATTATAAGTAAAACTTTCTTTTCAACAAAAGCTAATCCAAACCATTCCAAATTCCAATAACAGTGGAATAATGTGAAAAACTTACGACAATGCTAATCAAAATGACCAGAGAAAATAAAAATGGCGTTGTCAGGCACATGTGATTCGTAGGTTATTGGAAATAATACAGATTTGATTTTTTTTTTTTTTAAAGAGAAAAAAAAAAAAAAGGCAGACCAGCTGAATTAAGTGACTAAAAATGACCCACACAAACACAATAATGATATTATCTTGAGCATCAAAGGAAACATACCAGCTGTTCTCCAAAAACATTGTCATCATTATGCTCAACAGCACCTTTTCCTTCGCATATAGAAGCAATAACTTTACTATAATCATCTAAATGAAGGCGCAAGGACTTCACAGCTTCTTTTAGGTAAGGTTTAAGCTTAAATGCACAGTTTTCAAACACTCTCTCCCCCAATTTCTGAGCAATTGGCAAAGCTTCCTGAAAACAATAGTACTGATCAGTGAAGTTAATAATGAACGGCATAGATAACTAAAGTAATCCATCCCTCAAACTTAATTAACCTTATTGTCCCTTTTTAAACTTTCTAGGATGGGGGAGAGCAGCTCTAGTGAAATATCTTCACTTTCTTCCAGTACAAGAGTTATAATTGTCTCCATGGATGAAAAGACGTTCTCTGGGTGATAATCCCTGAATGTTGAACAAAAGCAATAATCAACATCTGAATCTACTTCTTTAGAAGAAAATAAGTTTCTTAAAATTTTGAATCTCGAATTGTATTCCCATGGAAGGGAACGTTGAAGTTGAAAAATATTCTATCAACTTCTATTCCTGAAACTATAACGTCAAACTTTTAAATATAATTGATGTTTCTTTCCCTTATTTGATTTTCGTACCATCAATTATGATTGGAACTTAAGAAGGTGACAACATAATATTACATCATATAAAGGTCCGAAGAATCTCACAAATCATGCATTAAGGCATATTTATGTAGCAAAGATAAATTGGGCAGGTACATGCCCATGAGTAGGAATGGTCCCCAACTGGTAGCTCATAACTATTTACATCAAACAGCTAGTAGAATTATCTACCTAAAACGTGGATCATGATAATTTTATATGTGAGCCAAGAAGGAAAATAAGAAGTGAAAGATATTAATGTTTAAAATCTAATAGAAACTTATTTTTAAAAGAACAAAAATCCAATTCCACAAAGTAAAATAAAATGTAAAGAAAAGAATGGCATGATATTTGCACAGCCAGGACTGTTTCTAACAATTGCACAAGCAAAATAATTTGATCAGTCTAAAATAGCAGTTCATACCTAATTGACTTTAAGAAGTGCTGGAACATCTCAATAATCAGCCCATCACATTCTAGATCCAACATGACCACACATGACCGGACCTTGGCTACAGTTTCAAGTATCGATGTCCTCTTATTATAAGATCGACTGGACTTGTCAGGTAGATTTTCAAAGGATGATACAATTAGCTGAAAGACATCCTGTATACCAATGAAATATAAGTTAAAGAGTAGGGGAGAGAAAAGGGGAGGGGGAAAAGGTGGGGGTTGTAAGCAAATTAAGTGAATTTAGGAGAGTCAACTACCTTCATCTCATTATCATTATAAGGAGCATCTGGTGCTGTAATTCTTGTTATTTCACTGATGCACGAGGCAACTGCAACTTTCACATCAGTATCAGAATGCCTTAAAAGTTTGTCTGCAACCAATGCCTTCAATGATGGAGCGAGTGCAGTTTGCATAGATTTGGATGGTGACTGTTCCACCCTTGATAGAAAATTCTCAACTTGCTTAAAAGCATAAAAGAAAAAATTATATTATACAAATGCATTTACAGAAAATAAAATTAAAAAAAAAAAGGACAAATTTAACATTCCCACAACTGAAAATTTAATAGAAAATTAAGATATTTATCAATCCATCGTGATATTATATCAACCTGAAGCTCAACAGTTAAAAGCACAACAGTGACAAATCTCATGGTTTGTCCAATTAAATGGGATTTTACAATATTCATTGACATGCTTATGTGCGTTACTTTCAAAGAAGACACACCAATAAGAAGGGGGAAGGACAGCAAGTCAACCAAAATCAAGTTTCAATCTTACAATTGGTCCAGTGCATGTGGGTGAAGTTAGTGTACAGTTTGCAATAAACTAAGTAACAGATTCAACACCTCAATGAGTAAATTAGCAATTGCATGATAATGAATGCAGTTGCAGTGAGAGCAAAGTACATGAGCAAAAGATAAAAAAATTCACCAATGAACTAAACAAATTGAGCACAATAAATAATTAAAAGATAACTTCATAACAGTATATCAAAGAAAATCAGAACATGCAAGAGTCCCAGATCTATCAAAAGAACAAACCATATTTCAACATATAAAAATTCTCAATCAACAAAACGTTGATAGTTATATGTTATTTACTACCAATATGTTCTTAATTTTCAATAATTAATTTTTCCCTCAAAATCTCTCATGACTACTTCATAATAGTATATCAAAGAAAAACAGATGCAAGACTTCTAGATCTACTAAAAGGACATGCCAAATTTCAACATATAAAAATTCTCAATCAACACAAAATTGATAGTTATATGTTATTCACTACTAATATGCTCTGAATTTCAATAATTAATTTTTCCCTCAAATGTCTCATGACAACACCCATATATTTCTGTAGTTCACAGCAAACGGAGTCTTGTAACCTTCTTTAATAAATTATACGCAATATTTAAGCCAAAAGAACTTTTTTATTAACAATGATGAGAACTTTGTATACAATATACAATAAAACTTGTGTATAACTCACTTTAAAGAATGTTGAATAATGGAAACTAAGTGCTAAATTAACAAATTCCATTACACCATTCAGAGGCACTTGTTGGTGTAGAGTCTTTCTGCTCACTTCATTTGTTGGGGGGGGGGGGAGTGTAATGACTTCCCCTTTTTCAGGGAAGAGTCGAAAACAACTAGGAACTTATAAAGGAAAAATGCATATCAATGTGAATTCATAAATATGTAGGTGTATAATGATACACTCAGGCTGTTAAACTTCTTTTCCTTCCAAAACCGACCCTTTTTTTTTTTTTCTCCTTTTCCCCCCTTCATTTCCGTCAATGTTCCTCTAATTTTACAAAATTTTATTTTTGCCATTTCTTTTGTCAGAAGGGACAGAGTGTTTGGAAAACTATGCTCGTGTCACTCTTTTATTTCTGTCCTCAGTGATATTTCCTCCACATTGAACCATGAGTCAGCATAATCCAAATCCAAATCCAAATTTTCTTCTCTGCCTGAATCTAACCTTTAGTTGTGCACATGATGTTCCACAAACTAGGAGATCCTTCGCACGATACAAATCTCATAATATTTTTAAGTTACCAATTAAAGTCAAAATCTCCAAGTGTCAAATGTTATTTGTATTTTCACAAGAAAAAGGTAAATCGTACTTTTTTGCCTTTTCCTTTTATTGAAGGAAGGGGATCTGAAGAAATTTCTCTTCTTGTCCCTCTTATTTCTTCCCTTCTGACATTTTTTGAGAGATGAACCATGAGATAGCACAACTCAAATAAAAGTACTTCTGCTCTACTAAACCCAACTTTAATTGTGCAAAATAGGAATTTCCTCGCTCGGGGTCATTCTTTGAATGTTTGAAGTTACTAATAATTAAGGATGAAAAATGGTAATGGCAAGCAAAACATCATTTGTGCTTCCAAATGTAAAAACCTATGCCAGAAAACATCTACATATGTTCACAAAAAAATTGCCCTACAGGCACATTAATAAACCAAATCTAAAGATTGAACCCATAGAACAGCAACAATTTTTTTTTCATTGGCATAGCAACAGCGGGGGAAAAAGTCCAGCCTCTAATTTCTCCATCATAATTCAGTGAATCAACTCATAGAAGTGATGTTAAAATCTACTACTATCATCTACTACTATCAACCATCTTCCCTGAAGCAAGGCTTTATCCAACCATTCGAACGTGACAAAATTAGAGAACGTATCCTGTTTTAGGGGAGATAAATTTTCCAAACTATCACCAAATTCCATAAACAACATGCAACACGACAAAGACGATATAGATTACAAAAATACTCAAAACCCATATAAAAGCGTTAAATGATTCAAAGTTTGAAGACAATTTGAAGGAAAATAATCAGAAATACACTGATATCCAACTGAAAACAAGGATATACTCTATAAATAACACTACCAACATGAAGATACTATCAAACAGACCAAAATAAAAAATAAAATTAGGGCTTACGTCGAGCAAAGGAAGGAGCTCGTCGACCGAAGAAGCCTCCTCAAGAAGCCTATTCCCAGCTTCCATGAGCTGTTCCGCAAGCTCTTTGTCTGCAGACGCCATTGTTTCTCTGTCTAGAATCAAGACCTTCAAATAAAATCCCCAGATTCCAATTCAAATTCACACCATCCTAAACCTAGAAACCAAACGGAAAAATTCAAAAACACGGCGCCAAGCCTGAACGATCCTGCCAATAGTATCCTTATAGAGCCCTGGAACGTTTTGAGAGAGAAATCGTAATCTATTGACAGAGCTGACGGAACCCTAGTTTTACCAGCACGAGCACAGATGAACCAACAGTCACCAAAAACAAAAGAAACAAAAAAGGGATCTTTGAGAGGCAAAACAATTTTGTAGAGAGAGGAGAAAATCAAAAGTTTTAAAAGACAGAAATCGAAGATTACAAGGCCTTTCAAATAAAAAATAAATCGAAGACTATTTTATACAAATATAAATATTTATAGATAGAGAGAGAGAGAGTGCGGTTTTTTAGAGAGAGAAAAAGGGAAATCGAAAAGAGGGGAGCACTTATTAAAAGAAAGTAAAATTAATTGTAATGCTGTTACTAATTTTTTTTTTGAAATATTGTGAAATGGTCCAGGGGGAGGGTCGGAATCGTCAAGTTTCTGGATTTGAGTTAAATTTTTTGATTCGAGTCCGCCAATAGATTTTCAGGGGTTGAGACACTTGGCTCCATGTATTGACATTTGGAAACAGCTGCGCATTGACATTTTATCACCATGCACTACGTAAGTACATACACGTGAAATGATGGTGTTGACAATTTTTTTTTTTTTTTTTTTGAAAGTTTTACGTATAAATGGTTTTAATGGCCCATATTTATTATTTAATGAAATTAAACTCTAGTAATTTTGAAAAAAATAAAATTGACAAAAATGCTGACATAAACATGAAAAAAACATTATCCATTCTTATAGAGGTACCACTTTTTGACACATAGGTACCACTTTTTATGTATCAAATATCACTTTTATTTTGAACATAGAGGTACCACTTTTATACATATAAGTATCACTTTTACAAAAAATAATACATGATGCACAAAAAGTAGTACCTATTTGCTTAAATGTGGTACCTCTATGAAGGTAAACAATATTTTTTTATGTATTTATTTTTTCGAAACTATGAAACTTTAACTCTATTAAATGATAAATATGAATCATTAACACTATTTATATGTAATAATTTTATTTTTTTTCTTTTTCTTTTTCAGGTAATTGTAACCGACTCCATTTTTCAGGTCATGAATTATGAAGGGCGTAAAATGAAGCTCTCCCTCATTAATTTTTTGTTTTTTTTTTTTTTAGAAAAGATAAATTATGTTTAGTATAGTGAAAAAGAAAAAAAAATGATATTGTTAATTAGAAGTGAAAAATAAATAAATAAAATAAGATAATATTATTAATTATTTATGGTATTTAGTTAATTAATAAAGAAATAATAATAATTATGTTTAGAAAAGAAAAAAAAATTTATTTTAATAAATTTACTATTATACACCCTTTTCTATATAAAATGTTATCTTTCTTTTCCTTTCCTTCTATAACAAAACTAACATAACGTGCCTAATTTAACTCCTCCTTTTCTTTTCCTTTAATAATTTATACCAGACATATATTTTTTTTTTCATTAATTGTTTTTTTTTTTTGTTTTTTTTCCTTCCATTACCTTCCAATAAACTGGGCTTCAGAAAGATGACGCAACCACTGGGCCAAGCAATCCACATTACAACGTGTTGGACACCTTTAACAGTCTTCAAGAAAATGTAAAGGAAGCTTCCTTAGCTGGATTTAGCTGCGTGATGTATCTTTTCAATTGTCTTCAACATCAACATCGACTTCAACTTGTATAACTACATAAACTTAGACATAAAAATATATATATATGTGTGTGTGTGTGTGTGTGAAAAAAACAACAAAATTATGTGTAATATAATCCTATAGCAATAAGAAATAATTTCTAGTAATTAAAAATAGGTAACATGGTGGTCCAAAAAGTTCCCATAATATTAACTTGGAAAGAACTCAATATTTAATATTCTTTAATATTTTGTTTCTTTAACTAAAATTCAATTAAGAGCGTGCTAGACTTCACCCAAAAAAAATCAATATTGTATCGTAAATTTTCCATCAAAGTCACTTTTTTCTCTTTTTTTAGGCTAGTTACTCTCTTAATATTTTTGATAATATTTTCTTTTCAAAAATATAAAGATCCATATTCTTCTTCTACCATAGTCAAACGTCAACATTGAAGCCCGTCAAAGTAGTTCTCCTATTTAATGCATCAAACAATTATCCATGACTAATTTCATTTAGAGCAGTGCTAAACTTCAAAAAAAAAAAAATCAAGATTGTATCACAAATGGTAAATACGATGTCATATTTCTTCACCAAAGTCACCTTTTCCTCTTTTTTAGGTGAGTTACTCTCTCAATATTCTCTTTCCAAAAGTATAAAGATTCATATTTTTCATCTATCATAGTCATCGAAGACGTTTACATTGAAGCCCATCAAAGTAATCCAACTCTACAATGTATCATACTAATTTATTTTTGATTCTTTGGGTTCTTGGGTTACTAAATTTTTTGTCCAAATCCCATCCATAATAAATTCGGGCTCTAAAGTTCAAATCCAATCTCATCCCGTAATCTCAATAACCTTGCCCACTCCTGTAAAACTAGGTTGCTCCGATTAGGCCGACCCAAGTTCCACCCCTCTAACACCGAAAAACATATGGGTATTTTTGGCTTGCTTGGTTTGTAACTATAGAAACAGTTTTCTGTTTTCGAAAAACTGAAAACAAAAAACTCTACTTGGTTTAGTTTTCTGAAAATTATTTTGTACGTCCCAATCGCCCCCGAAGGAATATGTTCATACTCAATTATAAAAATGTCTATTTTTAGAAGACAGTCTTTTATAGTTTTCTGAAAACTATTCTCTATTTTCTCAAAACTGTTTTCAGAATTGCCCAATTTTGAAATGGCCTTCTGGTACATACGACTCATTGGGGGTCTGCCCCAATCATAAAAATTATTCTGTATTTTCTAAAAACTGTTTTCAGAATTGCCCAATTTTGAAATGGCCTTCTGGTATATACGGCTCATTGGAGGTATGCCCCAATCATAAAAACTATTCTCTATTTTCTAAAAACTGTTTTCAGAATTGCCCAATTTTGGAATGGCCTTTTGGTACATACGGCTCATTGGGGGTATGCCCCAATCATACTTGTATATTCTGTCTTATTCTTCTGAGGTTTCTACACAATTTAATATATGGATAATGCTAGTTAAGCCTATTTGTTTAGCCAAATAAACAAATCGACCTAAGAATGATTGTCCTTATTTTATTTATAAATATCAAAGAATCATTTTCCTTATTTTATTTATTAACATAAAGCAGTTTGTCAGATACATCATTCCAGAGGAATAAATTCAGAAGTACTGCATATGACAGATCAACTAGCTTAGTTGAAAGAAAAGTAGGCAGTACAAACACTTTTTTATAAAGTAGAACACAATTCAATTGAACTTTTCCCAACTGCTTGGAGTTAAGACAATATGAATCCTAATCCTATTTCATCACACAGAATTAAACAATGTTTTATGTTACCAACACTAAACATTCGAACAGCCTGTTTAATCAAACCAAACTGACCAAAAAAAAAAAAAAAACTACTCCGGCTTGAAACTAACCGGAATAATATATATAAATAAACACACACAGATACAAGTAAATTTATAACCTAATGACAATATCAACCCATGCTATAGTAGGAGTGGGGAAGTTGATTACAGTGCTCTTGATTTTCGTCATCATAAAAACGGCTTGAAACTAGCCGGAATAATATATATATATATATACTGATACAAGTAAATTTATAACCTAATGACAATATCAACCCATGCTATAAGTAGGAGTGGGGAAGTTGATTACAGTGCTCTTGATTTTCGTCATCATAAAAACGGCTTGAAACTAGCCGGAATAATATATATATATATATACTGATACAAGTAAATTTATAACCTAATGACAATATCAACCCATGCTATAAGTAGGAGTGGGGAAGTTGATTACAGTGCTCTTGATTTTCGTCATCATATTTATACTGTTGGTAATCCCTTGAGAACCAATTCCACTGTCTTTCAAGCCCTGTCACAAACCAATGATTGAGCATTCAATTCTCGAAGCAAGGTAAAAAAAAATCAGCTACAAACTTTTAGACTTGAAAATCAAGTTTCCGGAACAAAAAGTGCGGTACAGAAAGTGGTTTAAGTCAAGGAAATAGATCAGAAGATGTCATTCATTTGAATTGCGAAAAGGTCCCAAATTGTTTATGATGAGTGATTTTCTCTGCAAAGCTCTTGTAAAATCGTGTGAAGTCATCCATAACTTTCTCAAAATGTCAAAATAATATGATTCAACAATTGAAGACTTCGATCCAAACTAAAAATGTACAACTTCAGTATGTTGAATCAGGAGTATGGGACGAGAACGCACCTGGAAAGGGAAATGATCTGGTCCACGAGCAGGGGCTGAGTTAATCTGAACCGTTCCAGTTTCCATGGCATCACCAATTAAAATTCCTTTGTTGATATCTTTCGTAAAGACACAGCCCTGTGTTTATGCATGGTTTAGTATCAGTAAGGAAAGAAAAGTCTCTTCTCTGCAACTGTCGCATATTATTAGTCATTTCTTCAATATTCCACAAATGGAATGCACATGCGCTGGTTGCTCTCTCTCTCACTGAATTTTTTTGTTTATAGGTCCCTTATAATAATCATTAATGGTGGGTCTTTGAAAAAAAAAACTACATTGCCCCACACAATTCTTTTCTTCTTTTTCCTTTTTTGAAAAATATTGTTTATAGAGTTATCTTAATAATTATTAATGTTGAGTTTAAAAAACTTACATGAGACTCATTAAAAATTCATTAACACCTTTTTATTCTTGCTTTAGAAAATTCAAATCCAGGGAAAGAAAAAATAATTTTATTTTGGGGGTAGTCCTTACAAACAAAATATCAATGTTATATTCAATATTTATATATATAATATCTATTATCTATATAAATTCACGAGAGGGAAGTTCAGCACTTGACAGTCTCATTTATTGGCTGGAAGTGTGCTCTTCTATCTCTCTCTCTTTTTGATTTGCCTTTTCGTATTAGTTTCTTCATTTTATTTATTTAAGTTGTTTTATCCTAATTTTTTAGGTTATAAGTTCCTCATTATTCAGGTTATATTAAGAATAGAAAAGTTATTATGCAAGTACTCTCACTAAGTTTGCTCAATCTGACCATTGAGCTGCAAGGCTGTAAATGTCAGTCTCTCAATCTAACAGTTGCTAGGATGCAACCCTGTGAAAGTCCTCGTGATAGACATGCTCGTAATAATCTATATTAAGATCAATGTTTTCAAAAAAACAACACATCATAATGTTTTTATATATTTTTTTATAATTTAAAAGTATTTTTGGCTTCGTCCCCTAATAGAGGGGGTGGCTTAACAAAGAGAAACAAAAGCTGACTAAGACCAAAACAGGAGCTGATGCCAGTGCCAAGATAATGTGGTAGAGGGTAGGATGCCCATCAGATAGGAAAAACATCCATATGACCCAAGTGGAGGCATGAAATGTCATTGAAGCAATTGCACATTATGCAAATGAGAGGTGGAAATCAATCTCTTATTTCGATACTCAGAGAAAAGTTCCAAAATAAAGGAAAGATGGGAAACAAAAAGAGTGAAGGCCTTGTTTTCATGTTTTGCTGATTGTGCATAAATATCTGATGGAAATAATAAAGAACGACATATTTTTTCAGTTTCCAACAAAAATTTAATCCATATCGGCTAGTGCCTGTACTGATCAGTACTATTATTATAACTTGCAATTTTCATCAAAATCAAGGATAGGAAGCATTCAATTAACAAAAATGCAAAATCTCATTGAAATTAACTATAGACGGGCCATATAGAAATTTTGAAATCGAACATCTTGAAAATGAAAAATGTTAGCAGCTCAAAGTTAGAAACGTAGTTTCCAAATGAATCTGACTCTTTGTATCTTTTGTGTTCTTTAGGAGCCCCTCATCATTCAATAAATTCTTCACTATCTCTAAAAAAATCCTAACAAGATTTGAAATTTGATCATTTACTAGAGACAGTAAAGATTGCTATGTTCCTATCACTTATTATTTACAACTATGAAACCAATTAGCATTAGGAGTGGGAATTTTTTTTGATAAAAACAAACAAAGAAAGTAAGTCAAAAGAGATGACCAAGTGGGACTTTGGCAATTGGGCTCTGACTAAAAAATACCACCTATATGCTTAACTTTACATAAACCTAGAAGAGGAAGATCAATAGATGTCATCATACCTGGAGGCCAAAATTACTAGCATTACAATGGTGGATTCCTTCTTCAACAGAGTTGATCCTGATGACTGGTACAACTGGGCCAAATGGCTCCTCCCAAGCTATCCTCATATCCGGTCGAACATTGTCTAACAATAATGGCCAAATAAGGTTGCCCTCCCGCTTGTACTCCTGGCAAAATGTTGCCCCCTTCTGCTTGGCATCCATTACAAGCCCTTCAATGAAGTTAGCAGAGGACTCTGTGACAACTGGAGTGATATCACAGTCATTCTCAGGCGGTCCAACAGTCAACTTTTCAACTTTCGCATTAACTTTCTTGACAAGATCATCAGCAACGGATTCCATTACCAGGACAACCTTAACGGCAGTGCATCTCTGACCACTGTTAGATGTGAAAGTACACAGCAATTAGGATGATTGCATCACTGGTATATTAAGCCATGTTGATCCAAAGCATTCATAGAGCAGAACAGCCTCTAGAAGTCATTTACTATTTGAGATAATCTAAGGTACCAGAAAATTTGTGATATGTAAGTACACCCATGGAAGGAACCGGTGTATTTTTCTGGACGATTTGAGAGTGCGTAGTTTATTGTTAGATGATATACATGAATTTTTTAGAATTCGGGCCACAAATCCACACCTTAATTCAAAAGTTGGACTTGTTCAACATTGTGAACAATGTATCAGAAAGACTGCAAATATGAAGTATTGCATGTTCAATCACCTGTAAGAAAAACCTCCTTTGACAATGCTAGATGCTGCCAAATCCAAATCAGCATCTTCAAGAACAATACAGGCATCTTTTCCACCCAGTTCCATTTGAAGAGGGATCATGCCTGCCTTCTTTGAGATTGCAATTCCAGTGTCTCCACCTGTGAAGCTGAGTAAGAGTAGGGAAACTCATTAGCTTGGAGCATGGGGCAGTCAGTGATAGCTAGAAGCATGTGAAAGAAAGAAGCTTGAACAATGTTTCCATTTTGTTCCTGATTTTGAAGTTTGTTTGGTTCCCAATTTACAGGCCAAGTAATGAAGGGGGCACATTTTTCATTCCACCAAATAACGTAGGTGAAAGCTTTTTCTTTATTAGAATGAGAAAAGCGCCTGCATGTGGTTTGCAATGCATGATATGAATGGCACTATATAGTCAGAAAAGGTCAAAGAACACAAGAAATTAGTAGAGTTTTAAGCATTTCAAGGTAAGTAAATAAATACCTTATACAGTTCACTCCTGGATGCATTGTAAGGAAATCACCAATCTCAGAACCTTTTCCTGTAACACAGCTAATAAGGCCTTTAGGGAAACCAGCCAAGTGAAAGCAATGCACCATGTGGAGTGCAGCTACAGCACCCTACAAGGAATAAATCCGTGATTCAATGGAATCACTAAATTTATCAAAAATGAGTCTATTGGGGTGGCTATTTTGTTAAATGAAAGGCAGTTTCATATAACAATTTTCCATGCATGGAACAGGAGAAAGATAAAATCTCAAAGGTTCAATACCTGGGTTGGAGGTTTGAGAACAAGGGAGTTTCCCGCAATAAGTGCAGGTGCAATTTTTGAGACAGCAAGATTGACAGGATAATTAAATGGTGGAATAGCTAAAACCACTCCAATTGGAATCTGCATTTGGTTGCAACCATCAGCCATGCAAGTCAAATTCAATATGCAATTTATATATTTTCTTATTTTTGTTGAAAAAGAGATATTTGGTTTTAATAAGACCATATTTTAGGGGATATGATAGGCGTGTAAATATAGATAGTCAATGACCAGATTTTAGGGGATATTTTAGTGTATAACCTATAGCTTCTATTAGTGCACAGCCTGTAGCTTCTGTTAGTATACAGCCTGTAATTACAGCCTGTAGTTTGCTGTCACAGCTTGTAGTCAGCTTGTAGTTTCCTTTTTTTTTAGCCCCTTGTATGTCCTATTTAACTAAAGCATTGTAAACCATTCAAAAGAAGGCAATATACAGATTTCTTTCAATCTTGAAATCGCCTATTTGGTATCAGAGCATCTTACCGATTCTTCTGAAAAAAAAACCCCTAGCTGTTCCTTTTTTTTCTCTTCCAAACAACTCTAATCACCATGTCTGATGACATACCTGAGTCCAAGACCAAGACCTTTGAGTCCCAAGTCCAAAACTCTCAGACACACTACGTCCAAATTACCACAATTCGGCTAAATGGTGAAAACTTCCTTCTCTGGTCCCAGTCCGTGCGGATGTATATCCGAGGCAGAGGCAAAATCAGCTACCTAACAGGAGAAAAGAAGGAACCAAAACCTGAAGATCCATCCTACTCGACCTGGGATGCAGAGAATTCGATGGTGATGACCTGGTTGGTGAATTCTATGGAGGAGGACATCAGTTCTAATTATATGTGTTACCACACAGCAAAAGAACTTTGGGACAATGTCAACAAAATGTATTCAGACTTGGGAAATCAGTCTCAAGTCTATGAACTAACGCAGAAACTCGGAGAGATCCGTCAAGGAGATAACAGTGTTACAAAATATTTCAACTCTCTGAAACGTTTGTGGCAGGACCTTGATTTGTTCAGCGATTATGAGTGGAAATCATCTGAAGATTGCAACCATTACAAAAAGAAGGTGGAAGACAACCGCATCTTCAAGTTTCTCATTGGACTCAATGTCGAGTTTGATGAAGTGAGAGGCAGAATAATTGGACGACAACCCTTGCCTTTAATCGGTGAAGTCTTCTCCGAGGTTCGAAGAGAGGAAAGTCGCAGGCTGGTCATGCTTGGAAAAAAGTTATCAAATGGTGCTGTTGAGACCTCTGCCTTGGTCGCATCTGAAGCAAATATTGGCAAGAAACATAATTAAAAACCCTGTCTTTGGTGTGACCACTGCAACAAGCCTCACCATACCCGTGAAACCTGCTGGAAAATTCATGGTAAACCAGCGAATTGGAAGAGTAAGCAGGAAGGTAGATTCAACCAGGAAGGCAGATTCAACCGAGCCCCATCAGCTCATGAAGCCGAGGCACTTCCCTTCAGCAAAGAACAAATGGATCATCTTCTAAAATTGCTGAAATTCAATTCCTCATCTGGTACTCCTAATGTTTCTCTTGCTCAAACAGGTAACAACCCGAAGGCCTTATCTTGTCGTTCAAATTCCAGTGTTACCCCATGGATCATTGATTCAGGGGCTTCTGACCATATGACAAGTTGTTCTCATTTATTTCAAACTTATTCACCCTGTTCTGGCTCTGAAAAAAAAATCAGAATAGCTGATGGTTCTTATTCTCCTATTGCAGGCAAAGGTTTAGTGAAACTTTCAAAAATTATTGATCTTAAGTCTGTCCTTCATGTCCTTAAGCTTGCTTGTAACCTTTTATCAGTTAGTAAATTGTCCAAAGACTCTAATTGTCGTGTTATCTTTTTTGAATCCTATTGTGAATTTCAGGACCAGAGCTTGGGGAAGACGATTGGCAGTGCTAAGATGATAGATGGTCTCTACTATTTTGAAGATGATATTTCAAGTAATAAAAAGGCTCAAGGTTTGAGTAGTTTTCGTTCTATCCCTATTAGAGAACAAATAATGCTATGGCATTTTAGACTAGGGCATCCTAGTTTCCCTTATCTTAAAAAATTATTTCCTTCTTTGTTTAAAGGATTGGATTGTTCATCTTTTTATTGTGAGAATTGTTTTTTATCAAAGAGTCATCGTACTACGTATTCTCCTAAACCTTACCAAACATCAAAACTATTTTATTTAATCCATAGCGATGTTTGGGGCCCTTCTAGGATCACAACTCTTTCTGGAAAAAAATGGTTTGTGACTTTTATTGATGATCATACACGTTTGTGTTGGGTGTATTTAATGAATGAAAAATCTGGAGTTGAAAAATTATTCAAGGATTTTTATATGATGATTAAAAATCAATTTCAAACAAAAATTGGCATTCTTCATACTGATAACGGCACCGAATACTTTAATGAAGTTTTAGGAAGTTTTTTAACAGAAAAAGGAATTTTTCACCAATCCACTTGTGTTGACACACCCCAACAAAACGGAATTGCTGAAAGAAAGAATAACCATTTACTTGAAGTTTCTCGTGCCATCATGTTTTCAATGAATGTTCCTAAGTATTTGTGGGGTGAAGCCGTTTTAACAGCAACATATTTGATTAACAGGATGCCGACTCGTGTTCTTAATTATTTTACACCCCTTGAAAGCCTTAAAAAATCTTTTCCTGAAACTCGGATTTATTCAAACCTGCCTTTGAAAGTATTTGGGTGCACTGTCTTTGTCCATTTACCTAGTAGACTTCGATCTAAATTGGATCCTCGGGCTGAAAAATGTGTATTTGTTGGGTATGCCCCGAATAAAAAGGGGTACAAATGCTTCAATCCAACAACAAAAAAAATGTTTATCAGTATGGATGTTTTTTTTTCTAGAAAATCATCCTTATTTTCAGAAAACTTTTCTTCAGGGGGAGAAAGAGAGTGAAGAAAATTTTTGGGAGATTTCTACTAATATTCCCTTACCTAAAACTATTGTCTCACACTCTATTACTCCAAACACTGATCTTTTTAAACAAGAAAATGATGTTCTAGAATCAGGAAACCCGGGGCCTCCTAGTCCTAATCTGCCGAGCCTTACTGTATCTCCAACAGGGGGAAAAATCCTACCAACGGTTCCAAAAAAACCGAATCCTGAGCTTCTGGTTTATAACAGAAAAAAGACTCATCAAAAGAGTAGAGAGCCTACTATTGTACCTGAGCAAGGCCAATCAGAGGTCCCGAGCAATGACTCCCTGAACACTCAAGGTACTCTAAATCCTAACTTGTCTACAGTTGTCCCTATTATTTCTAACCGTACAGAGACACCTAGCCAAGTTCCTGTAGACCTTGATATCCCTATAGCTGTTAGAAAAGGAATCCGAACCTGTACCCAGCATCCCATTGCCAAATACTTGTCTTATGATAAACTTTCCCATAAACATAGGGCCTTTACTTCAAATATTTCTCACTTGTTTGTTCCAGGAAACATTCAGGAAGCACTAGATGATCCGAATTGGAAATCAGCAGTGTTAGAGGAGATGAATGCTCTTAAAAGGAGTGGAACGTGGGAGATAGTTGACTTACCCAAAGGAAAGAAAACTGTTGGGTGTAAATGGGTTTTCACTATTAAGTGTAAAGCTGATGGTAGTGTGGAAAGGTACAAGGCAAGACTTGTGGCGAAAGGTTTTACGCAAACGTATGGCATTGATTACCAAGAGACGTTTGCTCCTGTAGCAAAAATAAATTCTATCCGAGTCTTATTGTCGTTGGCAGTCAATTCTAATTGGCCATTACATCAATTGGACATAAAAAATGCCTTTTTAAATGGAGACTTGGAAGAAGAAGTGTTTATGAGCTTGCCACCTGGGTTCGAAGGAAAACACAGTCAGAGCAAAGTTTGTAAACTCCAAAAAATCCCTGTACGGTTTGAAACAGTCTCCAAGAGCGTGGTTTGAACGTTTTGGAAAGGCTGTGAAGAGTCATGGGTATCATCAGAGTCAGGCAGACCATACCATGTTCTACAAACACGGTGAGGAAGGGAAAATTGCCATTTTAATTGTGTATGTGGATGATATAATTTTGACAGGTGATGACATTGAAGAGTTGACCAGACTGAAGAAGAAACTTGCTAAAGATTTTGAAGTCAAAGATCTGGGAGCATTAAAATACTTCCTTGGAATGGAATTTGCCAAGTCAAGAGAAGGAATTTTCGTGAATCAACGAAAATATGTACTTGATTTGCTTAATGAGACAGGACTACTCGGGTGTAAAGCTGCTGACACTCCAATTGAAGCCAACTTGAAGTTAGATACTGCCGAACCCGAGAATATGGTTGATTGTGAAAGATATCAGAGATTGGTGGGAAGACTAATTTACTTATCTCACACACGCCCAGATATAGCATTTGCAGTCAGTATGGTGAGTCAGTTCATGCACTCTCCTGGACAGGAACACTTTGAAGCAGTGTACAGGATTCTGAGGTACTTAAAGGGCTCACCAGGTAAAGGACTTATGTTCAAGAAACAAGGTCATTTACAAGTGGAGGTGTACACAGATGCTGATTGGGCAGGCAGTATAGTTGATAGACGATCTACCTCAGGATATTGCACCTTCGTTGGAGGAAACTTAGTCACGTGGCGAAGCAAGAAACAAAATGTAGTAGCGAGGAGTAGTGCAGAAGCCGAGTTCAGAGCACTCGCCCATGGGATTTGCGAAGCTATATGGTTAAAAAGACTCCTTGAAGATTTGAAGGTTATTGTTTCTCCTCCAATGAGAGTCTACTGTGACAACAAAGCTGCCATTTCAATTGCTCATAATCCAGTCCTCCACGACAGAACCAAACATGTGGAAGTTGACAAACACTTTATCAAGGAAAAGCTTGACTGTGGTATGATTTGCATTCCTTATGTCTCTACTACTGAACAAGCTGCAGACATCCTTACCAAAGGACTACACAAGAAACAGTTTGAAGTTTTAAGAAGCAAGCTAGCTATGGAAGACATCTACAAGCCAGCTTGAGGGGGAGTGTTGAAAAAGAGATATTTGGTTTTAATAAGACCATATTTTAGGGGATATAATAGGCGTGTAAATATAGATAGTCAATGACCAGATTTTAGGGGATATTTTAGTGTATAACCTATAGCTTCTATTAGTGCACAGCCTGTAACTTCTGTTAGTATACAGCCTGTAATTACAGCCTATAGTTTGCTGTCACAGCTTGTAGTCAGCTTGTAGTTTCCTTTTTTTTTAGCCCCTTGTATGTCCTATTTAACTAAAGCATTGTAAACCATTCAAAAGAAGGCAATATACAGATTTCTTTCAATCTTGAAATCGCCTATTATTTTTTATAAGTAAATCAATATAACACTTGCAGAAATACAACCATGAATAGTACCTAGAAACATGCATCTGCACAGATGGGACGCATCCCCCTATATGTGCCAACAACTTCTTCCCTTAAGGCAACGTGGGACGTCACATACCCCTATATATAAATGTCTTTATACCTAACCCGAATATTCTTTCCGCACTACTATGTCATCACCTCTCCCGTCTCTTCGACGCTATGCTTCTCCCCTTCTATCACAACCCCTTCAGCCCACAAAACTCTTCTCTCTCCCTCAAACCCATTCATAGTCACCTATATTTTCAGTTGCAACCTCTAATTAGGCATGAATGACGGCTTGATTTCATAAGTATTATTCTGTAGCTCATGAACCAATGTTAGATCTCTCTTCTTAGGCTTCAATATGCCGCTATATAAGGAGGATGAAATCGGCGGATCATTGCTTGAAGTTGTATGCCACCAAGTTCGGCTCATCACTGGTACATGCTTGCTCTATTGGTTTGTATATATAGGTTTTTTTATATATTTGTATTTATGTATAAGTCTGTGAATAACATGAATATATGGAATTTAAGTGTACTTAAAAAAAATAGTGTTTCTTCTTCTCATTATTGTCACTGAATTTGTGTAGAACGTGAGTAGCACGGGCGGGGAGGGGTTTTTTGATACTAGCTGCAATGGGGACGAAAAGCCCATCTCAAAAACGTCACGAGTTCGGAATGGGCATGGGAAGAATATTTCCTATTCCATTTGGGGATGGAAAGGGGTTGCCAGCCCAGTTGCCATCTCTAGTTATGTTCATAATGTGTTTTCAGAAAGCCAACTTACAAGAGGAAACAATAATTGTTTGTATCATGATGAAGCCACAGAAAACCGAAGACGATAACAAAATTTTTAGAAACAAGAAGTAATCAAGTTTTACCACTATCCAAAAAGCTCACTCCATTCAAGACATTGAGTATATGCCTACCTCGTGAATACAACAACCAAATTAAGCCAGTATTCAGATGTAAAGCAAGCTTACTGTCATTACTGGAAAGGTTTAAGACAAGGCACTCGACCGTTCAATCCAGGAGGGAACTTCATAGATGTCTTGTCCCCAAGAAAAGTTCACTGGTATTAGTAGACCCTTATTTGAGATAAAATTAGTTATGTTCACGTTCTTTTCGGTTGCCTATAATAAAGTATTTTATGGTTTAGGGATGCACGGTGGTTAACTGTCTACATTTTCTCTTAGAAAAATAAAATCACCAAGTAACAGCTTAACCACCCTTGAAGTGATTCAGACGGAAAATCACACAGCACAGTCAAAAGACACAAAAAATTCGCCAAATTTGTTTTGTTTGTTTTGTATTTTTATTCACTGAACTGAAATTGCATTAAAATGGGATCACATCATTCTCACATCCTCAAGGCCCTCAACTCATAAGCCTCAATGTTATCCTTATTCCTTGCAATACTTTTAGCTTGAATCAATGACACCTCCTTGTTAGTGTAGTCATTGTCTTCATTACACATGTTATATATTAGTCAAGCACTCAAGCCTGCTCACCTCCAACCATACTTACGTTGGTCAACTGCTCCAAATGAAGTAATAAAAAATAAAAATAAAGGATAAAACTTTTTTACAAGGATTCTTCTAGCTATTTTATTAATTTTTAATATGGGTCTACTTAAATAAAAAACAATGATCTGGGATATTGGAATTGACTTTGCTACATGAGGTGTTCTGCTTCATATGAGGAATAGTCAATGAATCCCTACATAAAAAATATATATGGAGAGGTTCATTTCATAATCTCCAAATAGAAGAATGGATCTCATGAGAATATCCCAAAAATATTCCCTTGATAAATTTTAGTTCCATATGAAGACAAAACAGCTTTACTGAAGTGACTTTATCAGCATAACCAAAGCAGAGACACTTGGCCAAAAAGTAAATAAATATAATAAATGCATAGCAAAATTGAAAGAAATTACCTTGGAAGTGAGACAATATTTGGTCCTTTCATTCCCAGGAAAACTATCAGACACCAGAAATTTCCCTTCCCCAAGAGTTCTTACACCATCCTCAGCACAATATGACACCAAGTCCCCAGACCTCACAACCTTCATTAAAAATCACATTAAACACAAAATCAATATATACTCACATAACGCATTAATTGTTAACTGTGCCAAAGCGAAACTTTGTGCAAATAATGTCAAATATTATGTGTGTATCTAGTAAGCCCCTCTGACATGTTTTAAAACCGAGCTTGTGCAAAGCGGATAATATCTAAATAGTGGATCCTAATATGTGGTATCAGAGCCAATCTCTAGAAATATGAAGAGAGTGTACAAGCCCACGAGGGTCAAGCCACAAGGGGATGATGCCCAAGGGAGAAGTTGTATAATATAGGGATATATGTATGTATTTATTTATATGAATAGTTTCAATTTCTGCCCAAAATGACCATTTAGCTTGCAACCAAAGAAGACTAGTAGTACTAGTACAACTTACTTCAGTCACAGCATCCTTGGCTGGCTTGGCAATTTCTTTGACAAGGCACTCAGCCATGGCATTTTTGTGCTCTTTCAGGATTGCTGCTGCCTTGTGAAGTAACTCAGCTCGCTTCCACAAGGGCGTCTTCGCCCACGATTTCTGTGCTTGCTTTGAAGATTCCATGACCTTGTTCACTTCTTCTTGCGTACAAGCTGCTCAAATTCAATACCCATAAATATATATATATATATATATATATATATACACACACACACATTAAAATCTTACAACTTTGGAAACCCTTTTTATGACACCAATTTTTTTCTTTTTTAATCAGAAACCAAATTGATCATCAAAGCTCGATGTAGATATATACCTTGGACCTTGTACTGGGTCTTTCTGGTTGTTGGGTTGATGTTAGATACAGATTTACCAGAGGTTGACACTTTCCATTCGCCATCTGCGTAGTATTTGAATACATCACCTTCTATGATCTCTGCAAACACACCAGTTCCTGCCATTCTTAAAAATCTATCTTAGTTCTTGTTGTTGTTCTTTTTCTGAGTGAGTATTAGAATTACAGAGAGAAAGGGTAGAGAGAGAAGGTGGGTTTGGGAATTATGGTGATTTGGTGAAGGTGTGAGAAAATTTCAGAGGTGAGTAGTAGTATTTGACTAGTAAGATGAACGCTAGTATATTTCTTTTCTTTTTCTGGAACATTTGTATGCGGACATTGATTTTGTTGGCTGGTTCATGAAAGAGCCAAGTGGCCAATTGTTTTTGTTTTGGGTTGGGCTAATTTACTATTTCATTTGGGCTGCCACGTGGTAATAAAATGCAACAAGTGTGCATCAAATTCACCCTCGAAGCCCATGTATACACACACACACACACGGAGTACATCATATAAATATGTTTGACCCAAATTAACCATTTATTCACTTACACAAATTTTAAAGCCCAACTCAACATTAATACTCATTTATAAAGCCCAACCTAAAGCCTAATACTGTAGTTTCATTTTTTAAAAAATTCAATAACTCAAGCCCATCATATATAGATATATAAAACTAGTATAACCCTTGTCTCATCATTTTCACCCTCTTCTTCCAAACCAAACCCTAGCCGCCACACTAATCAGTGCCCTCTTAGAATCACTAGTCCGCGCCCTATGTCTAAGTGAAGAGATTAAAAAAAACATAGGCTCAAGTAGGTGAAACACACACACATGATATTCACACACAAATGCATAAATTTGAATGTAAATAAGCTTGGTCGAGCTGAGCTCAAATAGGTGAAGAAAATACTGTGAGCTTGAATTGAGTTCGACCCGAGCTCGAACTATTTGACTACATGACCGAGTTGAGCTCGAACAAGCCAATAATAGGCCGGCTCATTTACAACCCTAACCTAAACCCCATTTATATTGGTACCAAACAATTTGGCATTCCAAGTACCTCATCATATAAACCTTACACGCTCATCTCCATCACCCACCCTACCACACTTTAATATATGTTGGGTTTCCTTCATTTAGATTGGCACCCATCCTTTTTCCTAATTATTTATGACTTGTATGACTCATCTGATAGTACCAGATTTGATTGATGATGACGACATGGGAAGTTAGCATTTATTCAATTTTATTTAATTGGTCTCAGTGGTACAAGTTTGTTTAATATATATATATATATATATACACACACACACACACCCATGATACATGAATGACCCGACTTCACGAGTCGAACCAAACGTGAACATGTTCACAAATGAAAGAATTGAAATCGAACAGCCTCAAGTTTGGCTCAATTCAATTGAATCATGAAAATGCTTCATTTCCACCACTTACGTTTATTTGACATATTTGAAAATCAGAAGACATGTTTAATTGATTTTGGTGGCACCTCATACGTGAAAGGGGACTCATCAATGCGCGGTTTCCTATCATTTACTTCATATAGTTTCTCGAGAACCAAACAAATCATATTCAAGTCAAGCCATGTATTCTGTTTGGTAACATTCCAAGATAGATCAGGAGTTCTTCTAAAAGAAACTTTAATTCTATAATTTTGTAAAGATGCCTCAATAATCCGGTGATCAGTGTTTTTAAAGTGTTAGGTTTCGATTTTCTACTCTCTTATACTTATCATGTACGTATAGTATATTATTACATTAGTTATGCAACAATAAAAATGCTCTTTCGAGTTATACGCAGCACAATGAATTCCTATTTGGTTGTCAAGAAAATGCGGGAAAATCTTGAGTGTCACACGTTTTCATTGTTGTGAAAATTGGAAAACCATAACATCTACTGAACAGAGCCTAATCAATATTTTTTTTGACAGATTAGAGTTGAGAAATGCAAATGGTGGTGGGTGTGGTCTGAACACGCATCTTCATGGTGATCACAAATTTATTAAGTATTACATCAACTTCAACTTTTGTTCAATAATATCTGACAAAATATGGTACATATATATATATATATACATAATTATATACACCTATATTTTATACACACGATCACAAACGGAGGAATTAAAAAAAGTCCATGAAGAGAGAGACTCGACAAGAGTGGTGCAACTGAGGGGAGGTAGGTGTGTGATGTCCCCCACCATAGCGAAAGTTCATCAATGTCAACAAGGGTTCCATATTCTTCAGAAATAAGGGCCCCACCTAAACTAAGATTTTTATATGGGACTGACTGTTGTGCCATCGATGAGAGATTAGGGTTTTTGGGAATGGCTCCATAGATGCTTATTTCATTTCTCAAAACAATTTTAAATTGGGAAAAAAATTAATTATTATTTTCTAAAACTTGAGTTGAAATACAAATCCTATTTTCTGAGAATTCTTTTATAGTTTTTTTGGAATCTGTTATATACTTTCAAGAGTGTTTCAGAATCATGTCCTGTTTTTCACATGTCAAGTTGGTGAGACTATCGAGTTAAGAATTACGACATATCAATGTGTGTTTTTAACGTTTTATGCTACTATAGTAAATATTATCTCACAAAGATTCTCGGCGTGTTTGATAATCCATTTTATTGCTTAATTTTAATGGATTAAGTGTTTATATTAATTAAGTACAGTCGATAACAAAATTTAAATGTCATTCAAAATAGTAAGTATCTTATGGAGTAAAATTTTAAGTGTCAAGAATATTTACCCCATACTGAATATTGAAAATTCAAAAAAATATTTATTACAAAATTTTTACAAGCAAAGCATGAAAGCACCTTTGGTTAAAAAAATGTTACAAATTGGAAAAATAAAATAGTTAGTTAAAGGGGTCATTTATTTTTTATTTGATATTGTTCATTACTACAGTATTTTTACTACGGTGCAGAAGGAATCGGAAACACTAATTTGGTGCTTCCAGTTTTGGCCTCTTTTTCATAAAGGTTTCAATATTATTTAAATTACAATAAACATTAACAAACACGCTTCTGCGTACTACTCTATTGCATTCCACCGTTTCAATATTATTTAAATTACAATAAACATTAACAAACACGCTTCTGCGTACTATTCTATTGCATTCCAACGTCCGAAGTAAAAATAACACTAAACAAAAACATTTGCAAACAAGACCTTAATTTTAAATTTTATCAAACAACACTTTAATATAATATAGACTATTTCTCCTCTTGGAATGTTTATCTCAAGAGTTGTTGCATCAATCGTTGACAAAAATGGAGCATTACCGATGCATTTTTTTTTCTCTTTTTATGCAACTCCAATAAATATGTGATGTTGTTTATCTCAATAATTATCACATCAATTGAAACAAAAATGAAGCATTACCCATAACAAAAATGTAGTACTACCCATCTGTTTTTTTAATGCAACTCCAATAGATCTTTATTGTCAATTCAATAGATCTTCATTGTCAATTTAATAATTGTCATGTATCTATTATCATTTTCCATATCAGATTGTTTGATTGGATTATATATATATATATATATATATATATATATATATATAGACTCTAGAGGTGAGGTGGAGGTAAATTGTTGATGAATTGACAGTAAAGATCTTGGAATATGGAGTAGATGTTTGCATTTGATGAGAGTTGTTTGGTTGAAGACCAAGAATTGGAATCCAAGGCTTTGCCTAATAAATACTAAGACACCAAACCATTGCAAGGCCACAATACCTTAAAGTCACCATCGTCCCTACACCACCAGCACCATAATTAATATCTTTCCTCCAAGGAGAAGAAAACTATTTCCTTTGACCAAACTATCTATGTGGGACTTTTCTTAGAAATACGATACATATACATATATGTATAGAGAGAGATAGAGAGACATTGGTGGTGGTGGGATTAGTGTCTATAGTCAAAGAAACATTTACTATTCAAAAGGAAGTTACAACAATTAAAGTGTCAATGTAACAGTAATGACTTTGACAACGGGGTATATATATAGCGTTTTAAACAATATAAGACCCAATTTTTGAGAAAAACGAACTACCTAATCAAACCAATGTTACATGAACGTCCACATCAGAGGTACAAGAAGTTAGATCTTGTCCAGCCTAACCATCTATAGAGTTCCGTAAATCATAAATTAAAACTTAATAATAATATCTGGTGGTACTTTCACATCTAGGTAAAGAATTTAAGTCTCTTAATGGCTGCGTGAATCATGTTACAATACAACCATATAAAAATGTATTAAATTCTTAATTTATAATTGAAACACGATGTGGATTCAAGTGTAAGCTTAACTTTTTAAATTTTTAAATTTATTACTTAGGTATTGAAAGTCTACAATATGTGGGATGCTATATCCTCAGGTCCAACAGTTGAATATGGTGGTGGGTCTCACCTTATGGACGATCAAACAGCTAAAATGGTACCGTGATCTCGAGATATTGTAGACTTTCTCGTTGCGCCAGAACACATGAATACAGGATTCCTTGAGCAGTTAGGGAATCCGGGTGTGTGGTTTTGCTTTAATATTGCTTCAACTTGTATAGAGGTGTCCGACAGAATATGCTTCATCTTAGTGCTTTTCTTAAACTATAAATGATTTTGTTTGAATGGTATTCCATATGAAAAGGCCATACAAGGTTACTCCACAATCACACAAGTGTGATGTCGTTTAATGCAACATAATACTTGTGCTATAATTTAGAAGATTCTGAGTGTCGGATTGAGTTTCAAAGTGTCAACTAATTCATGACACACAGTATCGCTTATTTCAAATAGGTAACAAATAGATGCGACATTGAGGTTGCTAGGATGACAGAACATTTGGATGCCATTTTCAGACAACTTTCTAAGCAAACGCGAGGACATCAAATCCAAAACCTAATTTTAAAGTCAATTATTTTACATTTCTTTTAGTATTTTAAATACAATTACGCACCACGTTCTTCAGGTAAAGACTTCATCGCATTCAAGTATAAACCCCTCAACAATGCACGATGAATATTAAATAGGCGGCAACAAAAATTAAGCACTTGGCTTACTTCAAATTTAGCATGTTCAGTATCAGGTCACTATAACTTAAATCTACATCGTTACTTCCTTTAAAATTCAAAGAAAATCATCAATGATCTAGTGGCCCACAAAAGCTCAATTTCACCTATAGAATTTGTGTAAATTCAAGGATCACAGAACCGGTGTTAGATAGTCGTATTCGTCGCCGTCTTCATTCTTGCCTTATTCCGATATAAACGCCGGTTTAAAGAGTTTTGACATAAACTTCTCCAGCAAAGCACTAATGATGAACTGGGTGGACCATTCAATCTATTATTGTAATAGTACAACTGTAAATGATTAATGGAAAGAGAGAGAGCACAATCCGTAGAAAGAAACTGAATTAAGGGAGACAATAAACAACTATCAAGGGAGAAAGAGAAGTTGATGTGATTAGAAGGGGTTCTCATCGTCAAGAAAGGACGATAATAACTCTGCCATCTGCTGGATTTAGACTTATAATGGCCTTCAAGGCCCACACTTCTCTCCAATTCAACGATGAATGCTTCTCGACAAACATTATATGACATCCCTAGAGAGAACAAATAATCAGTGATTGAATACGATAATGTCCAACCTAAAATGCATCAAATGTCCAATCAGTTTTTCTTGGATCCTTAGGTATATGGCCAACAGCAGAGCAGAAATTATTCCCAAGTTCCGTGTCCATATCACAACAACAACAAAGTCTTTTTCAGACTATTTGGGATCGGCTACATGAATCTCATGTTTTCATTTCGCTTTATTTACAGCTAACCGCTAAATCTTTAATTTTCATTTCCTTGAGGAATTCAAAGGAGGCAAATTTTTAGATAATGTCATAGGGTAGATATAAACAAAATCTCCTTGCAATTATTTATATTTACCACAAACATATTTACAGCTGAACAGAAGACATAAACTAGACGACAGAGTCACATATCAGTAGATACTCTGCAGGGACTGAAAATCCATAAGAGGTCAAAGAAAACAAAATACAACTCTTTTTCACACTGAAGATTGTATGACATGTAAGATATATACCTTGTGGAGAGGGTATAGCTGATGAAGTTCAGGAGTACTTAGCAATGAACGGCTTAGGCTTAGATTCTTCTCTCGTCTCCAATTCGCTAACCCTTCTCTCCTCACCTGTAACAAGTAATTAAAAAATGGTTCAGTAAAAATTAAACAGAAGTTAATTAATACAACTATTGAATTAATCAAAGAAATTTGCAGCCCATGTTGTCATTGTATATGCACAATAAGTTCGCTAGCACTTCTCTCCTTATCTGTAATAGGTAATTTAAAAATAGTTCAATGAAGAAGGTCAGAGGCTCAAAATATTAGTTAAACAGAGGTTAATTAATGCTACTGTTAAACTAATCAAAGAAAAGAGGTTTGCTCCATTTGCAGCCCATGCTTTCACTGAAAATGCACAACAAATTCATTTTTTTAACTTCATAAATCCGAAGATACCGGAGGAAACACATAGACCCAGAAAACCCAACAAAGGACTGATTCCCATATGAAAATGGCAGTGAAGGGTCCCTATTGGCTTTCAGAGGAAAATTACCGACACTCTTCTATCTGAGTTACAATGTCAATAATATGAAAATTATATAATTATGAGTGGAACCAACTAGGTAGACAAAAATGTACCAATTGTATGACAGTGACCACAAATAAAAAGGGCTCACCAATTATATGACTAAAGCAGCCCTTAGAAATTCCAAATTTGCATACTATACCACTGAAATGAAAGCACTCTTGAAAAAAGTTAATAGGCTATAGATGATTGTTTGGCATTTGGACAAGTTCTAAAATTATGAGCTGTGAATTATTCAAGCATATCATGTCCACATTCACGTAAAACAAGCTTACCAATTAACAAGAAGGTAACTCGAAATGACATGTCATCACAAATGACAAGTTCACTAGTATAAATGAAATGATATTAATGGTAATTATAATGTAATGTAAATTTTCACAAACAATGGCTGTTTTAAGTCCAATAACAAGCCAAAGTTAACATAAACTCACTAAAATGAAAGAAAGACTAACTTTGATTTTCTTTCACAATCTTCTCAAAATGGTAAGCTTTTAGAAGTTGAAGTTGTTGTGAGGGACTTGAGATGATCGGATGGAACAAAATCTTGCGGCAAATTGGCCCTCTTCACAATCCTTTTCATGTTGTTCTGCAAGCTCTGTTGGACTAATTGCTTCACTGCTTTTCTCTCTTCACTCATCATTAGATCTTCCTCCTCCGAACACTCCTTCAATTGATGATTTGGATCTGCCGTAGATGATGAAGATCCACATATAGGAGCTGAGACTGTACTAAACCCCCCTCCATAGCTTTCTGAAATCTGCTTCCCCTTGTCTATTCGCAAAAACTCCAAGATCCTCGAAGCCCTCTTCTGCGCTAATGTACTCCCTAGAAGAGTTAATTCAAGCAATGCTGAAACAATGCCAGCCTCGATCATGGCTTGTCTATCTCCATATGCTTTGTGTGCCATCACCATTAAAATATAGGACGCTTTCTCTTGACACCCCGGAGAATCGGTCCAATTCAAAACATCAATCAGAATTGGGAATGTATCAGGCATAGTGCTGACTGCTTTTCGACCTTCCGGCACAGACACCACATTGCTTAGAATTGAGAGGACTCTTTCACTCACCTCCATGTCACCCAATGCAGCCAAGAGAAATGGGATCAAGTTGGTTTCTAGAATTGGGGAAACGTTCAAAGGCGATATTGAAAGATTGTATAGTGCTCGCAAAGAGTCCTGTTCGGCTTGTCGGCTGTTCTTTTTCTCCAAATTTTTAAGGGTTTTTACCAAGAAAGGGATTGCCCCTGAAGAACCAATAATTGGTTTATTGGAGTCTAGTGCGCTCAAGCCAAGAAAATTTGCAACTATTGGTTCTGCAACAGCCGGCTTTGGAGACCCATTTGGAGATTCAATGAGCTTTAGCATCTTGTGAACAGCTCCTGCTTTAACAATGGCCGCTTTGTTTCTGCAAAAAACGGTTCACGATGAATTAATTAAGTGATATAGATATATATACATGCGTGTGAATGTGTATACACTATAAGATAAAAAAAAGTTCATACTGATACTGGCCAAGAAAGAAACATGTTCTAGTCTTGTAGGTAAGGTATTCAGAACCTTTTTAAAAACCACACCTGGATATATAGAAAACGACTTGTCCTACAGTATAAATGGCATATAATTGTTTAAATAAGATTCAGATAAAAAAAGGAAAACTCTATTGTTTAAATTATTTTATAAATTAAGCAGAGCGAAAATAAGAGAAACAAAACAATTAAATAATTTCTCAAAAAGAACAGAATTCGAAAATAAAAAGCAAAGAACATTATTATGCTAAATGTAGTACGCAAAAGTAAATTAATACTCTGTAATAAAATTCTTAAAAACTTTCATACACACGTATATATAAATATGCATAAGTATAATAAAATTGGAAAAATGATTACTTTCACTGTTTTCTCAGTAGCCAAACAGATGTTAAAACTAAAAAAAGGCAGATTAATGGAAGCAACAAAGAAACTCACGCATCATTGCCAATCCCTAGATTGAGAAGAGCGTAGAGAGAGGCGATCTGAGAGTTGAGATCGTCCGAATCAAGCAATGCAACGAGAGGCGGAATTGCTCCGAGCAACGCGAGTGTGGTTCTCGCCTCCGGATCTTCCTTCGCAAGCCTCCTCACCTCCATTGCGCCTCCCGAAACGTCGTCGCTTTGCAACCTCTTCACCACTCTCTTCAACTCCTCCAACGTCTCCACCTTCCTCTTCACCTCATCCTCCGATTCCGACCACTCCGACAGCCTCAGTAGCTCCGCTAACTTCTCCGATCCACCGTTCTTCTTCGGCTGGGATCTCGATCCGCCATCGCACTCGCAACTCTGCTTCTGCTGCTGCTGCGGCTGTGGCTTCGGCTTCTCCGGCGGCATTTTCTCGGCATCGTCGTCGTGTCGATAGCGTGAACCGCCGCAGCGCATGGTGTCCATTATTTTCCGGCGGAATGAGGCGCCGGAAAGCACCGTCCACAACCGTGAGTGCCCACCGCCGGCGCGATCGAGCACCACGGATCCGACGCTGTTCTGGTGACACTTGGCCATTTCAGACCTATTCTCCGGCGAAATCAGTACACCATCTCCTACATTGCCCCCTCACACCTTCCAGATAAAGAGAGAAGGCACAAACAGACTGCGTGCGCTTCGTCCAAAGCTACTGTAGAAAGAGAAAATACTGTAGAGAGAGAAAGTAGAAAAAGAATCACAGTGAAAAACACTCGTATACCCTTTCCTGATTCACTGCATATATACACATGCACACAGAGAACGAGAGTAATTAGAGAGAGAAATACTCGTAATCAAGAGAGAGACTGTGTATCTGAAAGAGAGAGTAAGTGGAGGATCTTAAAGAAGAAAGAGGGACTGTGTGGGGGCGTTATAGAGAGCGAGAGTACAGAGAGAGAAAAGCAAGCTTACTAAAGAAGCCATGGCGTTGCATAGGAATGTGTGTACTACAGTATTACTGTATTACTAACATCACACCAGGGGTCCTCATATCCGTGCCATACAGCTCATTAAAGATCTGATGATCAACAAAGAGTGGGACCCAGAAGGGTCTCATGATATGACATCGATCTTTAGCCGTTCGATTGATAGATTTTATGATTATACAATAGGTTAGTGATGTACGGAGAAAGGGGTTTGTGGGTGAAGAGTGAAGTTGAGAGCATGATTCTCTGACTTCGATGATGGTGGGGTGGGTCCCTCAAGAAAAAGGGCCAAAGATTGACTAGTGAGGGAAAAAGCGAAGTGTTGCTATTTCATGCGACAGTCGGTGTAACCGACTCAGTGGGCCCACAGAACTACAGAAGCCCCCGTGGACTAAAGTCGGTGTAACCGATAGTCGCAAGAAAATAATTATTCATAATTATATTTGAACCTCATGCGTTGATCAATTTCGTAAATGCCATAATGTTCCAAATAAGGTTTGTTGGTTCGCTACCTCTTTTTGTTCTTGCTCTATGAACGACAATTTCTTCTTTTGCTTTTCTGTTTTTCTTTAGCAATTCACTCATAAAAATATTAGTTAAATAATTTAGTCAAATTTATCACTTAATTTTAATCTCATCCTTGTCGAATGAAGTGTCAATAGGTTGATTCAAAGTAATTCAACGCCCATACCCATTAATGTTAATTCACGAATTGATTTTATTAAACAATTTAAAGCTCATTTCAAAATGGATAATACTTAGATCTTTATTAGTGAGAATTTATAATATTCTCTCCTCTTAGATGATCTAATAAAAATAAAACGCTATCATCTTTTGTTAAACAGGTTAGCAAATGAATCCTAACATAATGAGATCAGGCAAAGAGGGTTCAATTTTTTTTTTTTTTTTTTCTTGTAAGGATTCAACGTCCGTTCATTCTCTTTCCGGCACCAACAACAAGCCTCTATATTCACCATCTTCTTCCTAAAGGAACTCACTTTTTTTTCTCTTTATGTTGATGTGTTCAATTAATCAAGAGTCTGCTATATTATTCCTAAAGGAACCTATTCATTTTCTTTAAATAGGCACCGAATATAGTGTAGTATTATGTTTACATGAAATTAACAAACTAGGAAGGTGGCAATTGGGATGGTGTGGGTTCACAAAGCAGCTAAAGGGTGGGTGGTAAGGTTGTGGTAGCACTGGTAAGGTGTTTCAATATCCTATCAAAATCAAGGAACATAACCTTAGCAGATATCAAGTTTTTGAGTTTTGTGTTAATATGCATGTGAATCCTTAAATTTAACACATAATCGTTCATGAAAGCCCTTTTCTAGAAAAAGAATCCTAAATGTGTAAGCAAAAAAAAAAAAAAAAAATCATACCTCCTTCAAATATTCTTGATAATTGAATGATGATTGAGAGAGAGGGCCGAAGGTTGATAGGAATAAGATGGTGGAGAGAGAGGGCTGAAGGTTGGTGCCGGAAAGAGATAGAACCAAACGTTGAACCCTAGAGAGAAAATAATAATAATAATAATAATTGAATCCTCTTTACCCAATTTTATTCGGGTAGGATCCGTTTGCTGACCTATTTAATAAAAGATAACGTGTTTTATTTTTATTGAACCACATAAGAAGTGAGGATATTGTAAATCCTTACTAATGAGGATCTAAATATTATCCTTCAAAAATTATTTTAACTTTCCATCTTTCCTCTCCAATTATTCTTTAGAATAGATGCGATTGTCATTCAAATATATATATTTACTAACACTCTACAATTATGTTAAATACATTTTTTATTTTCTTATAGCACTTGTATGGATTCCATAATGGCATAATACACTTACCATATGCGGTTTGAAAGTAAGACCTTAAAGATTTACCTTCCGAATCCCTACCACGCCACTATATCAGCATTATGTTCAATAATTTGAGAATTATATTTTATTTTTTTAAATTTGCAATTTAACAATATGCATGAATTGATTCGAGATACTTATATCTGTGTGAATTTAAATAACAAAGTATAAGGAGTTATTTGAAATTTATACCCGTGCATGATGATTCTAGTAATACATGGATTGCAATAATATATATATAATTTATTTTGGAATCCAATTTTCAATAGCCTTAAATCTCTAGATTTCAAATTCATTCAAAAATTAATTCAAAGCATAACTCATCAAACCCAAGATTTAACTTCTTTTTTTCAATAATTTAAAGTCAATAAATAAAATAATTTATGAGTTATACAATCATAATAATATCATTTAAAGATATGAGAATTTAATTTAGGAACATTTACATTCCAGTAAATGATATAAATAAATAAATAGATTAGAAATGATGTGACAGAACTACTGTATTATTAAAAGCACTTGACTTGACTAGCTAAAAGACAAAATCAGCAATTAAGAAATCAATCGTTATAAATATATTATTTATTTTTAATTTCTCTTATACAATCGTACTTTTTACAGCACGAGACTCCAAAGAATACCTAGATTACTTATTTTTAATTTTTTTTTTCCCTTAAAGATTGATTTTAGGTATGATTTCAAAATTTAGGATGATATATAGAACCTGAAAAATTGTGAAATGGGCACAAGAATAGTTTGGTATCATGGTTATTCTCCTTAACATTGCTACAAACTATATCAATCAGTTGAGTTCAGTATTGATCAACATACTGATGTGTGTATATATATATATATATAGAAGCATAAGGAAACTCAAAATCAGGACAAGCTCAAGAACCTACAAATCTATGACAATGTAACAAATTTATAAATAGTATCACTATAACTGTTTACATTTTGTGTATCAACACTTTGGTCCTCAGCTTCCAACTCAAAAAACAGGGCATGCATGCACCAGACAAAGACACACATGCATGGTTTTCCGATTTAGGACCACCACACAGTACTCCTACAAGTGTGTGTAACCATTTGATTTAGCATTGACATGTGCTTCGAAATAGCCCTAAACAGAGCAAAATCAATGCTTGTTCCTGAAGTAGAACCACATGAGTAAAGTGATGGGTCCAAATGTTGCTTCCTTGAGATTGAGTTTGCTCCCAGTGAAAGGAACTTGAGATTGAGTTGTAGGAAACTTTACCTTCTCAATAATATATCTGCTTTGAACTTCAAGAAAAGAATTTTCAATTATCTCAAACAAACTAGAGTTTGTGGCAGAAGGCGTTCTAGAGTTGTTTAATTCTACGTGCATATCAGACTCTTCGGCATTGTCTTGTGGAAGTCTTTCGAGATCAAAGTTTCAAATTGGCTTAATTGAGAAGCATGACAAGTGTTGAGCACTCTACATTTATCCACACATAAAGAATAGGATCAGAGACTTGAGAGCCTATTTCGGAGAAGGATGCAAAGACAGAGCAAGTGATTCACTCTTCCTGGTGAAGTTGAGCAGCAGCATAGGCTGTCCTCAAACGTTTTCCTTCTGAAAAACAGAATCAACTGCAGAGTTTCCAGAATTAAAATGCCCACTTTTGAGCTTGTGAGAAAATGTAGTTCTTTATTTATTGCTTTTGCACATTGTACAGCTAGCGCAATGCCTAAACCTGCAGTAAAGCAACAAGTGATAAATAAGAAATATAATTATGATATATGCTAGAGAAAGTGTATAACAGAGAAAAAAAAAATTACAATTAATGTTGTTGGAAAATGTTTTGTCATTATAGTACAAAAAATAATCAGTGATTTGAATAGAGTCCAGGCAATGTTACTCGAGGATGGAAAATAAAATGAACCTGAAATGTATAGCCAGATTGTTTTCTACAAATAACTTACCAACAGAAGAGGGAGACTATGGCGTTGGATAGAGCGGAATGAATAATAGAATTCATGCAGCCGACCCCAAATAACTTGAAAAAAGACTGTTGAATAACAGAATTCATGAAGCTGGACCCGAATAACTTCCCAACAGAAGGGGAACTTAAGAGATGCATTTTCTTCTATCTAGAGAATATATATAGGGCTTGCTTTATCATAGTATGCATGTGCTCCAAACACTAAATTTTTTACATTTCTGATATATGAGCTAAAACATTACAAAGTTAATTCTGCATCTCTAGTAGTCTAGTTGGACACAAATGAGGTGAGAAATTGGAAATGTAAATAACACTAGAAGCAATAACAGAAAGTGTACATACCTTATAAACCTAAGCTTATGTTGAATTCACCCCCTAAAGTGTCCATTTTTTATTTTTAATTCTTTCTAGAACACAAAAATTTGAATACAGTTTGCAAAGACATCACTTTCAATTGAGATGACTTATACAGTTTTCTTTTCACATTGGTAGGCATGTAACAATAATCGTACACAAACATATACACATACATAACAAAAGTTCTCACAGGAGAATAAGAAGTTCATGCCATTTTCTGAAATAGAAGATGTGATATAAGAAGATAAGAGAACGATATAATTAAAATATTTCTTTTATCTGAACTTGTGATTTTAAATATGATTTTCTTGCCTCAACTTGTTGTTAGTAAAATTTACAAGATATATATGTATATAAAAAATCTCCTGAAAAATGCTATGGTGCTCATTTAGGTTAAATAAATCATAATAAAATAGTTATCAACAATGAGGGAGCATGTTTGATTAAAACATATAATAGAAAATTTCAACAAAAGGCTTGAAAATAACGTTTTCTTATTTCAGAGATCAATTGCACATTCTCTATATTCCTCTTATCCAAGTACCACTGTCCAGAAGAAGAAATTAATGATCAATGACTGCACATTCTCTATATTCCTCTCTCATTCTCCTCCATGGTGTACGGGAGGTTTACCACGTCACAACTTTTATGTACATAGAGATCTGATAATCACAACATTGAGCTCAGTTATAATAACAATGTGCATCATTAGTTCTGTACATTCAATTTGAAAGTACTTGAGTAAGAACAATTTTAAAAAGGCACCTACTAGATTCTAAGTTCGAAGTTCATATACAGATTATTTAAGTTGAA